TTATGGTCTTTTTTCTTTGACAATACATTTTTCGGGTATGTTGTTGTTTTTATTTACAAAACAGTTAATCATAAAATAGCACAAGTAAATACTCCTTTACATTTAATTTGGCAATATATAATGGCAAATTAAATTCTATATATACAAGTAATATATTGCAGAGTGCAGTCCTCTATAAGACGGTTAAACAACAGTCCTATTCAAGACTACAATCACAGTATAAATATACGTTTTTTTATTAATTCTGTTTGCCAGTCTTGTATTCTACCTATGTAAGCATGAGCAATACAAGGAATACATGGCAGCAAATGTACTGATTATGCCACTCACACTATTACATTGTAATAATAATTTACTTACTGAAGTGTCAATAGTTAAACCAGTCCATATTTTCAGCCCACATATATTAAATAACAGTCACGATATTAAAGAAGGAAAAGAGCAACAACATGGAAACATATCGGAATGCAAAGAGGTGCTAACTTTAGGCTGCGTGCAAATGGACACAACAACTCCCAACATTGTTGCGTCAACAATGTTGGGAGTTGTTGCGTCCGTGTTGGCAGTGGTCTGCAAACGGATGCAACAACTGCCAACAATGTTGGGACCTGCAGTGCATCGTGGGAAGGATACAACCCATAAGTCTTTGTAAACCATGCGTAATGAGCGTGCGTGGCCCCAACAATGTTGGAAGAGCTGTGCAAATGGATCCAACATTGTTGCACTACGCTTCAGCAATCACGGAACAAAAGAAATGTTGGGAGTTGTTGGCTGAAAAATTTGACCGGTTTCAAACTTTGCACAACAACACGCAACAACATCCAACAACATGCAACAGGGTGTGCAAACGGACACAACATGTAACATCCAACAATGTTGGGAGTTGTTGCCCAACAATGTTGTGTCCGTTTGCACAGGGCTTTACTATTGTCGGTGCTATGCTTACAAAAACTTCACAAAGCAGCATGTATGTGGCAGCACTCTTAGTTATCCAGACAACTTCCTTATAACACTACCAAAATCTTGCCTGAGTCTAACTAACACAGAAAAATATGAAAAATGTGAAATTGTAAACTTTTCTTGATTATTGTTTTCAACTCTTATGATTGGTCGAAATCTTTTGATACAAAAAATACCCCATATCAAAATGGAGTTTAAATACATTTTATTTCATAGACTGCCTTTCATTCCTATGTGAGGAAAGAGTATTGCCCCCAAACAAAAGAAATTGCTTTCTGTTTCTTTTTGGTATAGTCTGCCCACGAAAAAAGGCATTTTATTATTTCCAGATCAGACGTCAAAATATATCAGAGTCAATGAAAAAAGCAAGTCATGCAACTCTTATAAATTTCTGTCATCTTTACATTGTTTTGTTAAATAGACTATTTTTAGTTGGTATTATAAAATCAATAATCCTTAGGATTGTCAGGCGTGGAGGAACTCTCCTTAGGAGTTTTTCTGTAGTTTGAAAAGGATGTCATTTTTCCAATTCGTTTTATTTCCTTTTCATTAAATAAAGCCAGGTTTTTAAGAACCTTGTGGTACACACCTAAACAATGGATCTCCATGCCTCTGACAACTACTACACTGGTTAGTACACTTACTACAACACAAGATGAATGAAAGTTTTGAATTAGAGTGTATACAACTGTGTGTCTCTAAAAAGAGGCATTCTTTCTTCAGCTTTACGTGACCCCCAAATTGATCCACATCTTCCAAAGCAAGTCTTCCTTCCATACAATTCCACTGAAGACACACTCAAGGCGTCCAGATCTCTGAATTCAAAGTCAGCCTTTTCTGTCTTTTTTCTTTTACTATAAATCCACTTTCGAGCCACAATCACAGCTACAACAATCAATAAGATGCACAGGACAAAGAGTGCTACAATTATTCCTGTTAAAGATGTTCTTCTGTGGTTGTGTTTAGGAACTGGGATATCACCTAAGAAGGACAGACAACTCTTTTAGCTTTAACTCTTATAGCTCATTGCAAATACCATTTAAGTATATCCAATAACTTATCAAAAAATCTGCTCCTGGCATGAGACCATGATAGATGTTTTGAGTTATCACTTGTTGATAAAATATTACAGAATGCTGTCTTGATCTATTTGATCTGCAAGGAGTTCTCAATAACTTCATAATAAAGTGCAATCTAAGTAGAAGATGACAGTTGTAAATGTACTCTTTTTTCAAACATCCATGTAAAATCGTTGCTCAATCCAGTCAGATGTCATAACATAACATAAACTTTAGAGGCGTCTGCCACATGAACATGGACAGGTGTTCCTTCAACCTTTGTACATTATTTAAGTCTGAAATTTTAGTCTACAAGTACTATCATTGATCTACAGCTTGGTAGTAGGAATATTGTTAACTACTGGAAATCAAGATAGCAAGGCTGAAACCGTGAATGTCCATAATCATTTCTCCCCTCACTAAATTTACTTGTTGATACTCGACCCAGTCAGTTTAAAATGTGCCCATTCTGGCACAATGTTTGTGCAAGAACCCTTTGCAGGTAACATACCTCCAGGAATCTGTACCATAAGAGATGTGTTGGTACCACTGACATCATTCATTACTCCAATATTAACACAATACTGGCCAGCATCATTAAATCTGTGATTCACTATTAAACTACAAGAGTTTCTGTACTCCATCATAGGACTGCATATTTCACCCGGGGGAAGATTGCATTGTTTGGTGACACACCAGTGAAAGGAAACAGGAAGACTGTTGAGAAAGATAACAGAAATGAAATTAAGATGAGTGTCGATAACACTGACACATTATTTGCAGCTTAGGATAAATATTTGCACTTAGTTAAAAACAAAGATCACAACACTACTGGGGTCAATACTGAATAAACTTTACGCAAGCATAATTTACTAGTCCTGAAGCTAAAATGCTGTTTTCAAACTCAAAACAAAAGCTACACCTGAAAATTACTTCAGTGAAGCCAACTCTGGTAATGATCTGACTAAAGGTACTATAACTTACTCAGTATAACACAGGTAGGCTCATAGCATTAAACATGATGTTAATTGCAATAATTGTTCTAGTAGAAATTGTAGAGCAATATAAAGTAGTTTTACCACTTTCAGTATAGATTTACCCATGTATTGGCAAATAGACAAACAGTCATCACTGCAAAGTAATGCCAAATAATTTGGCAATCAAAAAATCCAGTTTAAAAATATTAAAATGTTCCTCACGTATTAAAATGGAATTATAAAACTCTTCCTCTTTTTAAGTCTACAGTGGCGGATCCAGATTTTTAGATGAGGGGGGGACTGGTCATCAGGACCCTGAGATAAGGGGGGCAGGACACGGTCCCCCCAATTTTTTTTTTGGCCCTTCAGGCTTCAGTTTGGTTTAAAAATAAGGGGGCGCCAGGGACCCTTCCTTGGATCCGCCACTGGTCTGTGAACCCTGGTTAGCTGATTTGAGAACAAAACACTCAAGTGTCGGAGAGGATTGTAGTAAAAATAACTTGCCTTCCATTGCAAGAAATGTTAAATCTCACTGTCTTGTCTTTATGTTCAAGATGTCTGTGTCTCACTTTAAGGTATACAGGATCTGTAACATAAACAGCAAAGCATTAATTTGGTGCGGTGTTTCTTCGTATTGTGAAAACTATTGTTGGTTCACTTTTGTTTTTGGTACATGGGTTATTGTTCCGTGTCTTTTTCAATCTTTTGTATTACATTTGGTGATAATTGCATCCATCTGCAACATCAAAAAACTACCAATTTGCTGCACATCATCATATTTCATTTGGCTTGTTAGTGAAAAGCACAGGCTAATAGGGAACAGAATAATTACCAAAAGTGCAAACTCTCTGACCGGCAGTGCACGAGAGGCAATGATAACAGGTAGAAGAGTCTGGAATATCTCCAAACTGTTACATTTTATAGAAATGCGATTGCATAAAAAAAAAAATTTACATTGCAAAAATTGTGACGCACATCTACCAACCTTTCACATAGAGATCCCTTTTAACTGAAAATGATTTCTTTCCCAGAAACTTAGTATTAACTCTGACAGTTAACCAAATGCAATATTTTCCTTCTTTGAGGAATGTATGGAAAATTGTTCTTTTGCACCACCTTAGCACAGATTTGGAACCATCACCAAATTTCCAGTCAGTGGAAACTCCTGTTATTAGATTATAAGGATCTTTAAAATTTACTTCAAACTCAAGAGGAATGTCTGTAGGGAACGCATTTTGATTATTAGAAGGAAGCTTAGGCCCAGAAGAACATTTGATCACCAGGTGGGGATGAATATCACCTGAAAAGAAGAAAAGGTTTTATGAACTTATAGACCATACAACAGGCCATTTTACAAGTACAAGTTTACAAAAGATCTTATTTTTTAAAACAAGGGTTAGTGCACAACCTTTCTTAAGAAAATGAGTTATATTTTCATGAAAATAAAACATCTTTTTCATTTCCATGGCTTAATTTGCACTTAGCTTCACTTTGAAACAAAGGATTAAGGCAATTTGAAAATGACCTATTCCATTACATCTGCGACGCAGGCTATAATCCAATATCCCCTTCTGAAAGCCCCTCAAATCCATAATGCAATATGGGGAGTTAATGAAAATATCAATAAAGTATTAAGTATTAATTTTTATTGTTGATTATTGATATTGTTACCAACTCATAAAACATATAATAGCCCCTATGAGCTCCCTCTTGTTAGTTCACAGCTGATGTTATATTATTCCAGTTTGCACACCAAGTAAAGATAAGCTACATGTATTTATCACTTCAAGGCAAGCAATCTCCAGCTATGTAAAAACAGACAAGGAGACAACTGGTCTAGACATTGCGAAAGAAAAACATACCTTTAAATTGCAATGTTTTATTGGCCTTTCCTTTGTAAAGCTTGCCCTGAATCCATCCATGAAGATTGACCACTATTGTACAAGATTTGACTGTTGTAAAATTGTGAATCACTTTCTGCAAGTGAGAGCTTGTGAAGTTTGTTCCATCACCAAAATTCCAGTCATAGGTGACATTGCTAAGATTTTGGTGTGGAAAGTTGGGAATTATGACCTCCAAGGTCACTGCTCCGACATAAAGCTTGTTCTGATCTCCTTTAAGAGAAGCATTCTGATATGCAACCAAAGTTGCAATAATCTTGTCCTCACCTGTATTCAGAGACCAACATACATCATGAAAATCATTTTCCACCAAACCTAAATTATAATAATCTCAAAAATGAGATACAGTGTTTTTGTCCAATATCTAGACATCAAGAAACAAGTCACATATTATTTTCAAGTCTTTTTAGACTGATGCTGGAAACACTGTGTTCATATAATAGCTACTAAAGGGACAATAATATGTTGTCTTGAAGAAATTTATTTGGACTAGTATGCCTAAAAACTTATTCAAAGCTGGAATTTTTTTTTTCTTTTCACTATTCATGCATAGATGGTTTCAATCAGCAGTGTGTATTTACAAAACAAAAACGGTAAACAAAACAAAACACAAATTAAGAAATGTTGAAGGACAAAATTTATTCATCTGATGTCCAACAACAAATTAAACTTGTGGCTGCATAATTGAAGGGCTCCATCAAAAAAAAGTCCTCTCCAAGAAGGAAATGAGGAAACCAGGGGAAGTGTCTGGACTGAATGTGTCATATAGCTGTAGGTGTGTGTCATGGGTATGTCACATGATAAAGAAGGTCATTCATATGGGCCAGGAAGAAGAGCGACTTTGAACTTGTTTGGTAAGTCAGTCTTTTACTAAACCGTATTATGAAAAGCATCCCTTGAAAAATAAGTTTCTGAAAATATCACATGCGTACCATCCAAACTATTTGAGACATTGTGATGTCACGCGACATGTGATCCCATACATTTACTTTATTTTGCAATGCCCGCACTTGGCTTGATGCAAGTGATCGATAGAAATGCTTCATAAAACACAGAATTTTGCACCTTTTGACCCCAAATGTTGATATAATGTAAGAAAATAAATAAAGATAACTTACCGTATGTTTTTAGTGTTGTGTTCTGCATTCTTGTGGCATTTTCAAGCAAACAACACAACATTAAAAACATATGGCAGTTATCTTTATTCATTTTTCATACACTATATCAACATTTTCAAGCAACTCAAAATGCCACAAAAATGCAGAACACAACACTAAAAACATACCGTAGTTATCTTTATTCATTTTTCTTACATTATATCAACATTTGGGATAGAAAGGTGCAAAATTCTGTGTGTGATAAAGCATTTCTACCGATCACTTGAATCAAGCCAAGTGCGACCGTTACAAAATAAAGTAAATGTATGGGATCCAGGGCTGTCATTAAGAGCCGGGGGCTTAAGTGATCTCTGTACTTCCTGGTATTTTCAAAAACTTACTTTTCAAGGCACGCTTTTACGTAATAGGGTTTGATAAAAGGCTAGACTGACTTTCACATTTGAAGAGTTGATAGAACCTCACCATCAGATTCTCTAACTGTGACCTTTGTCTCGTTTGTAGCGAAATATGAACTGTATCCTGTGAGGGGTCTTTGTTTACGCGCTAAATCGTTGCCATTCCCATCAAGAATTCGCACATAAACAAAAACCGTATGATCCCCCGCTTCAGTCCACCGCCACTGAAAGTTATCACATCTTCGTGCAGTTCTTTCGTGTTTCAAAATTACCCATGGCTTTGAAGAAACTTTCCAAGAAAACTCGAAATTGACTCTTTCGCTCGCATTAAGACTTGTCCTTGCGTCAGGTTTTGTGACAACCACAGCGTTGAATGTTGTTATTTCTCCAACTTTGCCAGTCCGAACGCCTCCAATTAGCACTTTGATGTCTCCATAATGACTACAGAGTATTTCAGAGGGAAATATAACGACTGCGAGGGCACCGCAACAGAAAAATGCATGCAGCAGCATATCTTTGACAGGGTCCGATAGTGCAGTAGTTTCATAAGGACAATCAACCAGCTCGCTTCATCTTACATGTGACTTTTTTACGCAATGAATTGGATTTTGCCCCTAAGTAAACATGATACTTCCGGATGAAAGTGGCAATATACATCATACATCATGTAGAAATACCATATACACAGCCGATACCGAGCGAAGTGAACACATCAGAGATTCTCACATGACCTATTAGTTACCAGTCCTTTTGGCCTCCAAAACAAAGATGTCTGTCGGAACGTCAGGGGGAACATCGGTCGTCAACAGGCTGGTCAAGTTATCCGCCTTAACCATTATTCATCAGGATGGGTCTTTTTTCGAACGATGTGACTTGAGTACTTTGCCAAGAACTGTTCTGCAAGAACTTCTTGTGGCTTCCGTTTCTCTTTCGCGAATTCTTGTTTTCAGAAGTTTAATCGTTAACTGGCCGCTCGAGCAAGTTGTTCTTCAGAAAGTCTCAGGCTTCGACGAACCAAAAGCGGTTCTTCTCGCTTACTGTTTGCAAAGAACGCAAAATAGTGTAAAGCTTATAGACATACGAGGATGTAG